CGGTATAGGGTTTCCTGCCTAGGCAGGGTGTTGGACTAGAAGACCTCCGAGGTCCCTTCCAACTCTGCTATTGTATTGTATTGGGTGACTGAGAATCTCCATAATTGTCTTCCTTGCTATTTAAGGATTGCTGGAGGAAAGGACTGTATAAAGCTAGAAGTCCCTTGGAAATCCATATAGCTCATCCTCTTCATACGTGATGCCCTCCTGGAGTGTAGATCTACATTTGTTTCATGTTCCCAAACCAAATCAAACTAACGGGATCGCTCCTCTGCTTTCATCTTGTTGGCAATTCATGACAAACACATTTGAAAGCAGCAATCTCTTTATCTTCTATGTTAGGGTTGGAGCCGTTGGGGACAGGAATGACATTTTTCAATTTTCATAGCCATTGAGAACCAAAGCTTCTTAGTTAAACACAATTCTTGGCAACTTCGGGGATATTCCGTGTAGATTCCTTGGCAGCAGCACAGCAGTACTTTGCTATGGCTGCTTTCTAGGATGGTTGTTTGATTTCCCAGTCTAGAGGCTAGCTGGTATTTCCTGCTAATAACAAGATCTGACCCTGCTTAGCTTTTGGAGATCAGCCAGATCCGTGATGGCAAACCTAGGGCACGCGTGTCAGAGGTGGCACCCAGGTCCCTCTTTGTGGGCATGTGCACTGTTGCCAGCTGCTCTTCCGGGTTCTGGCATATGCGTACCAGAATCTGGAAGAGAGCAGCTGTCTGATGTGCATACACGCACCAGAACCTGGAAGAGCAGCTGGCTGCCGCACCTTTACGCTCCGGCCAGCTGCTCTCTTCTGGGTTCTGGTGCTCCAGCACTTGCATGGCTCAATTTCGGCACTCGGTGCGAAAAAGGTTAACCATCACTGTGTCAGCTGCTGCCGTGCTGCTTAAGACAATTTTGAAAGATGGAAGTTTGCTTCCCGTGTGTGGCTGCAAGATAGTAAGGCAGCCATATAGAAAGGACAGGGAAGCACCGAATTCTGAAAGGCCTTCTCTGCTTTTCTTCCCTGGAGGTTGGTAGAAGTCCTGCCATCCTGGACCCCTCGTGGCTTACCTGTTTTTCCTGAAGCCAAGTGCTTTCTCCGAGCGTCGCCAGAAGAAACACTGACCAATGGATTCTTTGTAGCAGTGTTGGAAAGGAAGCACAAAGCATATGCAGCAAGGTGAAAGAATGCTCTGTGTGTGTGTGTGTGCTGCACAGGCAGTCCTTGACTTACAACTGTTTGTGTAGTGACCATTAGACGTTAACAACAGCATGGACAAAACCGATTCAGGACCAGTTTTCACTCTCTATTGCAGCATCCCCAGGGTCATGTGATCAAAATTTGGGTGCTTGGCAACTGGCATGTATTTCTGACAGTTGTACTGTCCTGGGATCACCATTTGTAATCTACCCAGCTGGCTTCTGGCAAGCAAAGTCCATGGGGGAAGCAAGATTCATTTAGCAACTGCATGATTCACTTAACAATTGTTGTCATTTGTTTTACAACTGTGGCAAAAGTTGCAAAACCGGGCACAACTCACCAACTATCTTGCTTAGCAACAGAAATTTTGGCTCATTGGTGGTTGTAAGTTAAGAATTACCTGTGTGCTATATAGCATAAATACTCTATATATGTTCTCTATGGTCTATAAGATAAAGGTAAAGTTTTCCCTCGCACGTACAGTATGTGCTAGTTGTTCCTGACTCTAAGGGGCAGCGCTCATCTGTTTCAAAGCCAAACAGCCAGCGCTGTCCGAAGACGTCTCTGTGGTCATGTGGCCGGCATGACCACGTTACCTTCACACCAAAGTGGTCCCTATTTTTCTACTTGCATTTTTACATACTTCCGAACTGCTAGGTTGGCAGAAGGTGGGGCAAGTAACAGGAGCTCACTCAGTTACGCGTGCTAGGGATTCGAACTGCCCAATTGCTGACCTTTCTCATCGACAAGCTCACTGTCTTAGCCACTGAGCCACTGTGTCCCTTATGCTCTATATTTCTGTGTTATTAACAAAAAGGCATGATTTCCACCTTTCAGAATGTTTTCAATGATTCTGGAGGCCAAATCTATGAAGTTTGTGACTCTCTGCCCTCAACCCTGGCAACGGGATCCTACTTTTCACAACTGAGATAAACTTCAATGTATCTGTTTACAAACCTGCATTATGGGGTCCAAAAAGCCTTGTGCTAATCTTGAACGGGTCAGTCAGACAATAGACACAACGCACATAGAAACATAGGGTTTTTTCCCCCAGGTGCAGAGGTAATTCTGTCAGCACATCTTGTTAGGAAGAAACACTAATTTCCATGTAATACAAAACTCTCAAATGTTACAGACTGGAAACAAGATTTTATTTCTAGAAATAGGGAGCCAACATCCATCTGCCTTTCTTCCCAGTCAGTCATGGGAGTGTCCTGGATGTAATTTCACATAGTCTCTGCACTAAAGTTCAATTTGCATAGCCAGAGATTCCCCTCAAGTTACTCCTACTCTATGCATAACTTTTATCTCCAGAGTTCTGTTATTTTGCTTGATGGTTTTGCACCCTTTGAATCAAGTCTTAATATGTTTCAGATATTTAAGTCACAATTGCCTTTTGATTTATAGGAAATAAGCTTTCTGTTCTTTGTGGGTTTTGCTTGTAGTTCTGCAGTGCTGCTTTCGGAGGCTGACAGTAAATTAGAAACAAATCCCAATCCAGCAACCAGAAAACGAAAAAAGAAGAAGACACAAACGGCTTTTCCCAATAAGTGAAATTCTTCCATGGCTTACTGGTCTTTATCAATGGAGTTTGCAAGAGAAAAGGCCTTGGATGGAAATAAAAGTCAACTTTTTAATCAAGTCAGCGTGGACATACTAAAATGGGAACTTGCAGAATATCAGGTTTGGCCAAAAATATTGTAAACCAAGATCATATGAGCACAGGATATTGCAATAACCATAAATGCGGGGCAACTGCTGAGCGCCCAAAATGCAGTCAGGACTCTGGGGCTGGGGGCATCCACCGGAACTGTAATTACTTGGGGTGGGTGGGTGTATCTGTGGAAGACCACCTGTATGGAGGTCTTGAGAGAAATTGAGCTGGAAAGTTCATCCCCATCCTGTGTTCAATGTTTCTAGGAAACGGGTGTGAAAGGAAAGTGAAAACCACGGGAACAGAGACTAGCATCTTTTATTGATCTGTCAAGCCACTCCAGGAGGCTATTTGGCCAAAAAAACAGAGTAAAAAAACATTCTGGCTCAAGCAGTTTTATTTTAAATCAACATAAGCAAGGAAAAGAAATTGCACAGTCACACTAAAACCCTTGACAGGAATGATCCAAGTCTCCATTGCAACTTTTTAAAAAAGCCAGCCCATTCTTTTTATTTTTACGTACTTCATTTCATTCACACACAGCAATATCTCGGTAACAAAAGGTGCTCTACCTTTATAGGGATGGTTGAGGGGGGCAGCTGCTTCCCAGCTGGAGAAATGACTGGTTCATTGCAGACTCCGGGCACTAAGCAAACACCACCCCATGGCAGAGGACTAACCACCCGCCCCTTCCACTGCCATACGTGGAGAGATGAAATATGAGCCGTTATTATTAAGAATATTAGTTAACCAGTCAACCAACTGGATGGGATTCTTGAAGATGGCCCTTTTCCCCCAACAAAGTTAGTCACTGTCCCAAGCAATCACTGAAGTGGCCATTCTTTTACAAGCCACACATCATCTGCCTTCCTTCCAAATGACAAGCACCGATACCAGATTCACTTTCCCAGCCCCACTGAAACGTGCAAGAGCTCTCAAGCGTTATGGAACAGACGGAGCCACACTCACATTATTCAACAAACACATGAAACACTGACCTGTGAAGCCCGAAGGGGGTGGTGGCAAGAAAGCAGATGTTCCCCCCCCTCCCCACCGTCCCTATAAGCCCTGTTGTCTCCTAACAGCACACAGGCAAATTGCTAATGAACAACTTTGTACTTTCACACCTCTATGAACCAAGCTTGAAGGAATTTAAAGGCAATTTAGCTTAAATATAAAAATAAAGTTTCACTTTGTTAAAAAATGTTTAAATATTTTTTTTTTTAAATTTAGAATTAGGCAGGCTCACGCACACATTCACACCGCTGGCAGCTGGCCTGACTTCCAAGAACAAAACTGGCTGAGGAGAACCGTTTTTGTTGCCGAGCTGCTTTGTCTACCCGCAATGGCTGACTGCTGTGGCTCAAGCTCTTTTTAAGTTGGAAAAAAGGAAAAAAAATCAGATTTCAGCCAGAGCCCCACAGGGCTTATGATTTTACTCCTCCACCTTAGAAACACTTTTCCCTCCCTACTCCAAGACTCAGCACACAACAAGAACTTTTCACAAGGTCCCGGAGCCACCAAACATCAGGGAGGCAGGTCTTCCTCGGAAGGCCTGGGGTCCCGACTCAAAATGGCGCTTCCAGCCTTCCAAAGTCGAAGTCTTCACACTTCATTCAGCACACGTAGCCATGCAGTGACTGTCCACACCCAATTAGGCAGGGTTCGTCTCCGTTGGAGACAGGTACCCTGAAAAATGTTTACAAGTCCGGCATTACCAACATGCCGCCACGCACACAATTCATTTCTTCCTCCAAACTCAATTCACAGAGCAATAAAAAAAGAACACAAACATACTGTGAGCAAAACACAGACATTTGAAGGGGAGGAGAGGGGAGGGCAGAGGGAAAGGAAAGGCTGCCTAAATGAGAAGCTGTAGGGGGTGAATGGCACTGTCTTCCTCACCAAACGCTCATGGATTCCCCCTGGACCTCTGACATCAAGACGTTTCTCCATTTCATGTTGCTATCCAACCACACCTCTGCTGTTAACGATTATTAAACATCCCAACTCGGAGCTAAAACCACACGAAGCCAAAAAGCTTTGGCAAGACAGGGTGGCTATCCCAATGGGACAGAGGGGTCTTACTGGGGACTGTGTTTTGATGTGAATTTCGATCCAAGGAAGCCCTTGAAGATTCTCTGGAAAAGGCTTCCCAAAGAACGAAGAAACTGAGGATGGGAGCTAACAGTTGGTTTCAATCAGAAATGTTTATATGGCTGCAAGCCAAATACTTTCCCCGACACCCTACCTCCCTTCGCTAAGCAGCCAAAAAGGAATGAAGTTAAGAGCAGAGAAAAGAAGGGAAGATTAAGGGGAGAGGTCTACAGGGAGAAGGGAAAATAGAGGATATGTACAAATTTTTCATCCAGACTCAGCCATAGACTGTTCAAGTAAAAAGGGCTTAAGTGTCTCCTATCCCATTTGAAGGAGTAAAAATCACTCTTGGATCCAGAATAGCTTCCTGGGGTTGTTATAGAAAAGAGACTCCCAGGACAGTCCAGCTGAATAAGTCTTCCTTGGGTAGTACAGTATGAGGAGGATCCGTCAGCAGATCAACTGGGAGTTGAAGTCCAGGCAGGAAGCTGCTCCCGGTTACTTTTTACGAGTGTGCTGCCTCCGGGCCTGCAGCCGTTGGCGAGTTCCTGTCTTGGATCCTGCTCCAATGGAGAAGGTGGCTGTTGCTGGCCCTGGAGGGACAGAAAAGCAAAAGGTCTCCCTTCAGCCTTTTCACAGAGGCTATTTGGGCATAGAAAGCAGGCCAAGTAACTTGTGGGGTTGCATAACTTGCTACTCAGGAGCGATTTTTAACCTCTGGCCTCTTTCGAAGAAGGTGCCATCAACATCTATAATATATTTTGGATTTAGAACTATATAGATATATAAGAGCCGAGGTGGCGCAGTGGGTAGAGTGCAGTACTGCAGGCCACTCCAGCTGACTGCTAGATCAGCAGTTCAGCGGTTCAAATCTCACCGGCTCAGGGTTGACTCAGCCTTCCATCCTTCCGAGGTGGGTAAAATGAGGACCCAGATTGTTGTTGGGGGCAATATGCTGACTCTGTAAACCGTTTAGAGAGGTCCACAAGTGAAAGCCCTATGAAGCAGTATATAAAAATCTGCTATTGCTATATATCTGCTATTGCTATGTTATTATTTGAGATGTTCCTTCCACTGAAGAGCATTTTTGCTACACTAACTCCTTTTTCAACTCCTGGGTTGCAAGAGAAATGCTAACCTTAAGACCTCTGCAACTTCCTTTCACTGCAAGATGAATAGCAAAAACATTAACGAGAATTTTGTCTGTTTTTCATCATGAAAACAATGAAGAAGTCTTTTTTTTTCTTCCCCAAAAGGAATGTGGGTGAGATTTTTTTTTGCTGCTACAGGACCCACGGCAGTTCAAGGTGGGACAATTGGTTTTTCCTTATTCTCAAGTATCGCAGTCGAGCTTCAAAATGTTTTTGATGAGGGTTTCAGGAA